ACAGAGACTCCCAGGCTGCTCTTAAGACCTGGGGCTTTATACAGGGTGGGGAGCCTCGATACATTGTAAGCAAGGGGTGTTCTAAATGACACTGCTTTGTGTCAAGTGGACCTGGAGAAAGGATAAGAAGGGGTGAAGCAACAAAGATCAAACCCGAGAGGGTTGTAGTTGTCCACGTGAGAGGGGAACACAGACACACACACACACACACACACACACACACACACACACACACACTTGCACACACTCGCACACGCACATTTTTTGAGACCTCCATTTCTCCACTTAAGCTAAGAACGTCCTTCAGTGTGCGGGGCCACAGCTCCTTTGAGGTTCCACTCCAACCAGAAAGTTCCATCTCTGTTGAGTCAAGGTTCCCATCATCCACAGGGAAAGGGACATGACTCTTTGCATGGGAATAGCATGCCAGGTGTACAGGGATGAGTCTGGGTCTTGCCTTAGGAGAGGGGAGAGACCTTGATGATGGGTCCTAGGCTCACCTGGCTGGTGTGACAACCTCATTGCTTCCAGGACAGCTGTGCAACTGGGCAGATCTGGAGCACCTGGACGGAAAGGTCCTACACTTGACTCCTATACCCCAATTCTAGTCATCAGAAACAAAATAAAAAACCTACCATACCCAGAATTGTGACCCTTCAAAGCTGTCACCTTGCTAGCATGTTTTACATTGTCCCAAGCATACAAGGGCATTCCTTAGACAGTCCAGTTCAAAACAGGTGAACTGAATCGTGGCTCAAAAGTTCGACCCTGCTTAAGAGTGGAGACATTTGAGGAAGGCTAGTGCAAGGGACCTGTTGGGCTAAAGACAATCACAGCAACCAGGTGGTGGTACCAAAACCTATCTAGCCAAGTACCAACCTGGGGTCAAAGTGATATTGAGAAATTAGGCAATGCTGAGAAGTTTCTGGAAAAAAAAAAGTAGACTTGTACACAACTATTTGTGTTCTTATCTATAATGAGATCCTTGGAAATTCTGTAGATGTGTGGAAACCTCTGGGTACACAATAGAGTATATAAAGCATGCATAGTGTCAATGCACTCTGAAGACAGAGCAGAACTAACGTAAACTACAGACTTCCATGTAAGAATGATATGGGGTCAGACATAGCATCTCTTTGTGATGGTGAATATTGATGATCGACCTAAGACACAAACCTGTGGGCGTGTCTATGAGGAAGCTCATAAATCGGGTTAACTGAAGTGAGAAGACCCACCCCAAACGTGGGGAGTGCACCATTCCATTGGCTGGGGTTCCACACTGAGTAAAAAGACAGATGAATTCATCTCCCTGCGTTGTGACTGTGCGTGCAATGTGACCAGCTGTCTCCTTCTATTGCTGCCATGACCTCCCCACCCTCGAACCGTGAGCCAAAGCAAACCTTCTCTTCCTTAAGTGCTTTAGTCAGACATTGCGTCAATCAATGAGAAGGAAGCCTGTACACTACTGGTATCCAATATCAGTACAGACTGTGCTGTAGAAACAGGTATCACACATAGTGTGTACATGCATCTATAGTGCAGGTGCATAAAATACTGTCCTGATACACACACACACACACACACACACACAGGCACGCACGCGCTCACACACACACACACACACTCAATTTTACATTTTTTTATCTTTCTGCTTTATCTACCCACACAGAGTAGGAAGCATGACGAGCATGGATGCCTGTATCTGGATGTCTTGCAAATCTGTCAGAGAGCTATAGGAAACTCCCACCTATTCCTCGGAGAGATCTTGGCCAGCAAGGCTTCTTGTCCCTTGCGTTCATTGTTCTCCTGGACAGTGAATAAAGGTTAAGCGAAAGACAAAGGGTGTCTTGACGTGTTTCCTCTTTTTTGGCTCACTGACAGCATGTTTAGGGGCTGGGGATGTTTTTCAGCCATATATGCCCCAGCTCCTCCATTTTCCACTTGATGTCAGTTGCCCAGGAGTGACTAGCTTCACCCTACAGTTGTTTTCAGATGGCAGAATGCCTCAGGCTTGAAGGCTCTAAGAGACTAGGGTGTGTTTCAAAGAGGCTCTCTGTGTCTCACAGCAACAAGTGACTCTGAGAGTAGGAATGTGTTTTTCAAATACCTAAAACCGGCTGACTCCTTCGGCCTCTCAGCGGCCCTCTCCTTGCCTTCCCTCACCGGCTTCCCACTCCCTGCCTCCATCGGTGTCTCCTTTTGCTCAGGACCTGCCCACCAAGCGCCGCTCTGCTCCCAGCCCACATCCAGAACGGCTATCGTAGTGTCTGTTCCGGTTCATTCTTGATGCTGCGCCAAGTCTGTGACCTTCCCATCTACCCACATGCGCTTGGCGGCAATGTCCCTCAACAGCTAAGGACTCTGCGTCCCCGCTATGGTGACACTTGCTTGTGCCCTCTCTACAGAGCAGAGGACAAGGCAGCTCAGGAGAACTGCATTTTGGGCTTGTTGTTTCCCAGGCCACTGGTGGGGACTCCAAACTCTATGCCAGAGGGAAGGAGCCTTGTCCTTTAGAGAACCTAGTAGTATACGCTTAATGCACAAGCCAAAAAAATAAATAAATAAAGGAAGGAAGGAAGCCAGCCGGGGAGCTCTCTGCAGCAGCTCATGCTCCCCCGCCCCCTGGGTGCTGAGAGGAAGTGGCTGCTGTAACCCCAAGGGGAAATACTTGCTTGACACAGGAAAATGGAACGCTTAGCACTTTCCATCAGCAGCCTGAGGGTAGGGGCCACACCTGGAAAGACTTGCACCAGAGCTCACTCCACCACCACAGCCACCCCAGGCGGACTGGATTACATACACACACACACACACACACACACACACCACACACACACACACACACACATACACACACACCACACACACATACATACACCACACACACACCACACACACACACAAACACACACTCACACACACACACCACACACACACACCTGGAAAGACTTGCACCAGAGCTCACTCCACCATCACCACAGCCACCCCAGGCGGACTGGATTACACACACACACACACACACACACACACACACACACACGTTCACTTTTCTCTCTCTCTCTTTCAGAAACACCAGCTCTGGGAGAGCTCTTATTGCAGCTTCCCTTACCATGGGCAAGGAATGACCAGGGGCCTCTGGGGAGCTGTGGGGAGGAAGAAGGGAGGAAGCTAGGTGGCATCCTAGAGGGAATATTGAACAAGAGGTAGGTCAGCTGATCAACCAGAGCTCCAGTGCCTGCCTGGCCATCCCTGACTATGGAACTCTGGGAAAACTAGTTGTTCTTCCTGGAACCCTCTTCTTCTGTACCAAGCAGAATCACCACTGGCGGGCTTTACATGCCCATGTTGCCGTGCCAATCATACAGGGTGGCAAACAGATGGAGCCCTTCTGGCCTGCACCTACCGGGTGTCAACTCTCACACCTTAAAATCTGTCCAAGCCCTGACTCCCGAACTCTTCCTCGCAGCTCCTCTCCACTCCAGCCTCAGTCAACCCGGGGCCCCCTGCAGCTGTACCCACATTTCTGCAGAGTTTGCGAGAGTATATCCTATAGTGTCAAGACAGAACAGCAAGTCCAGGTAGCAGAGGCGGGAGGGGCCTAACTGAAGCACCAGAGTCCCAGCACTCCCACATTCTCTGCATCCACAGGCTGCTCTCGTCCTCAACGACTAATTTGCCTGCTCAAAGGGTCAGCGTGGCCCCAATTTTCCATGTAGTAAAATGAACATCTGGTTGCAGTGCGGTGCCTTAGGCAAGAACCGTCTAACTCAGAATTCCCTGCAGGATATTCCAATGTTTGAAGCAATCCAGAAAGCGTAACCATGGGCACCCCATCTTTCCTCATTTCTCTTTAGCACTGCACAGGCTAGCTCTGGCACAGAGGTCAGTCATCTTGGTTTCAGTATTACTGAAAAATTCCAAGGAAACAAAGAGTGGCAGTTTGGTATAAACCACTACCGGCAGGTCCTGGTTCCCATAGGATGCTTCTAAGTTCTTTTCATACAACGGTTCAAAGGGATCTTGGGTCTGGGGCACCACCCTGCTTCAGTTGGAGGTGGGGTGCCACTGCCCTTCCCACATGCTCCCCCTGCTGTGGTGACCTTGAGAAACAACTCAACTTTCTGACAACCTTTGCTTCCTCGCCTGCAAAACAGGGATAATGAGACCTGCCCCAATCCCAGGTTATTATGACAACGGAGTGAGAAAACAGATTTGAAAGTGTTCTACAAACCACAAGTCCAAGTCACCGAGATCTAGAAAATCACCTGAGAAGAGGCCAGAAACTGGGAATATTTTATCCTGATTTGTTAAGGAACTTACGGCATACTTTGACTTAAGAGGAATTTGGGGTGCGGGGCGTAGTGACACACATTTGTAACATTAGCGTTCGTAAGGCTGATACAGGAAGAGGGTGAATAGAGGCCAGTTTGCTCTACACTGAGAGTCCATGTCTAAAAAGTCAGAGGGGGGTGGGGTGGAGAAGCCAGTGTAGGCGCCCAGGAGTGTCCTTGATTTCTAAATCAGCATCTCCAAGCAAGTTACACAAATAGCCTGTTGATTCGGGCACAAGACGTAACTCCTTCCTTGTCTCCTTTTGCTTACTTTGAGCTCTGAAAAGAACACAGACAACCGTACCATGTTGCCTTTAAATGAGAATGAAAGGTTGTCTCCTAGAATCCTCTTCCCACCCTGGCAATGGGCTCTGCAGTCAGCAACACGCCCACCCTAGCTCGGTACTGGGTTGAAAGGCTACAGAGAGTTATGTGAGATGCTGTTTAGTCAAGATCTCAAGGACAAAGACATCCCCATCAACCTTCCCCCTAGCGGTGTGACCCCCCAGGAAGGAGACCGAAAGAGCTTCCAGGACACACAAAGGCTTTCTCTGCTCACAAGGGTATTTACCAACCCAGCCTACTAAACTGTGCCAGGGTTGGCTCGAGAGAGCAGAGCCAGGACGGCTTCTGCTTCACCTCCTGGCAGATGCACCCTCCTCTATTATTAGCAACACAGGCAAGATGCCACCGGGCTGGGGACACCCTTTGTGTCAAGAGAGAGGAGGCAGGAGGAGGAGCATGTACAGGAGAAGCAGGTGGACTGCCTGAGGCCTCCTCCAGAGGAAAGGGGAGGGTCCCAACAGCCTTTCCCCTTAGCTGGCTAACCTCAGACACACCCAAACTTCAAAGTTCACCCTGGAAGTGGCTTGAGGTGTACCCCTGCACGGCTAGGCCCAGTTCAGTCCCCCGAGACCTCTGGGCGTGGAACTGCAGCAGCAAACCTGGAGAGGCCTAGAGAAACAGAGTGAGTAGAAAATTGGAGAAGCCCCTCCCCCTCCCTACTCCTTCCTTCTGTGACAAAGCTGCAATTTACTGGAGCCCTATACTGCAGCCCCAATGCACTCAGACTCCCTCCAAAGGACGGCTACCCCTAGTGTAGTCCTGCTCCAGGCACCACTTTCACTCCCGTGAAAGGGAGGGGACATCTCTGTGTCACAGCTGGGAAGCAGTCTTGGAGAGCCCAGGGAATTTGTCCAAGAGAAGAGCATGGCATATGCTGACTCAGTGGCCTAGGACCACAGCCAGAGGACTCTCACCTCCAGCTCACATGCGTCTAGATTTAGGTTCAACTCCAGAACATGCCCGCAGGTCACACATCTAAATGCCAACTATGGTATGAAAGAGTTCTGCAAAGGCACCAACAAGTAAGTGACATTTATTTACCACGACAGAGTGGCCTAGGGAAAGTCAAATAAAATTTCACAAAAGTCAGCTACGGGGCACAGGTAAGACAGAGGATACCATTCTTTTCAGTGTTTGGAGACACTGGCCCTGGCTCCGTAGGGAAGAGAAGCAAAGCCATCGCAGAGAGCTGCAGACCTCTTACAGTACACTGCCCAAGCCAGGGAGAGCAAGGGCTGAGTCCTAGCAGGAAGCCAGGTAGTCTAAAGTGGAGGAAAGGTTAGGAACTGGACTCCACCACAGTTTGGGGTTCATCCTGGCCGTGCCTTCCTGTGCAACTTCGAGCCGACCTATGTGTGAACCCACCAGTTTCTATGTCTGAAACATGAGCTTGGGACATTGACAGTGAATAGGAAACATGTCTAGCAGTCAATGATGCCGGAATGTTCACTGCTGTTGTTATCACCACTCTTGGTCTGGGATAGAAAGAGTGGATTCAGTACTTGGTGGTGCTGGAGCTCCAACCCAAGGACTGCTGCATGCTGGGCAAGCACTGAGACCCAGCGCCCAGCGCCAGCTCCGGTTACTCATAGCTTTGCTGTTGCTGTTTGGTATTATGGTTTTGAAACCGTCTCACTCTGTAGCCCAGGCTGGCCCAAAACTATGTAGCACAGTTGCATGGCAATCCTCCTGCTTTTGTGTCCCAAGTGTTGGGTTTACAGATATGAGCCATCAGCTTAGCTCCATTCTTTGCCTATTTGTAAAAAAAAAAAAAAAAAAAAAAAAAAAACCAAACAGGGTTGAGCTAAGGTTTTGGTGGGGTTTGTTCATAGGACACTCATTTTAAGCCACCGTGTTACCAGGAAGGGCGTTTCCTGTGTGTGGAGTGAGGTCTCCCCAGAAGCATCCACAGGTGTCAATCAATACTCTCAGCTGGAGAAACCGGCAGGTGGCCAGGATACAGGAAGAGGGCATCGCAGGGCCAAGACCTAGGCAAGCCTTACTCTGAGGGTAAGCCTTCGTGGGAAAGGCTGTCTGTGGGAGTCCCTAGCCACTTCCCCAGGGATTGGTAAGTTGGTCCCTTTCCAAAGCAGTGCTCACTCCTCTTGACATCTTATCTTCACGGTGTTTGCTCCAATGGCAATCTCGCCACTTGTGAAAGTTACAATGTATGCAAACTCCAAAGAAGGCTGCATTTTTCCAAGGTGCCAGTCATCTCCTGGGTGCCTCATGCCCGCCCTTGTTGCCTTTGGCTTCCTTTAGGCCTGGTGGTTTATGCTCTTGGAGTTTGGAGGGGAGCTAATCTGGTCTCACAGTGTCCTGGATCTGACAACACCAAGCCAAAATATGTCAGTTCTCAGTCTCAGAGCAGAACCCGGAAAGAGTAAAGATTAACCACACAAAAGCAAAGGCACCGGGGGTCTCTGGGATGCCGTGGTTGGGATGGTTTGTGAGGAATAACTTAATGCTCTATTTCCCCTTTCAATTGGTGTGGGGTTTTTTTTGGGGGGGCGCTAAGAGATGGACATATCTATTAGGGTAACTCAAGGTTATATTCAAAACTGCATTGGAACAGTAATAAAGGCAAGTGATAGGAAAAAGTCTAATACAGTAGCTACAAGGAATTTTTATTTCATTTTCTGAATTAATCCACAGCAAATGTGAATGTTTAAAAAAATAGAAGTTACAAGGTTACTGTTTTAAATTGCATTTCACAGGGAAGAGCCAATAAAGTGGCTGACTTCTGAAAGCCCCTCTTAACCAGTGTAAAAGGCCTCAGCCAGAGAGACAGTACGGGAAGGCTGCAGAGAGGGCCCTCCAGGGGAGAAGAGGGGACCGCCTCTGTTGTCTCTTAACTGATGCCTACCCCTCGGACCTGTTCTCAGAGGCCATCACCCTAGCTAGAGTCAGCAGAGCCCTCAGGCCGCTAGGGACCGCTCCAGGGAGGCACATCCCGTCCTCACGGAGGGTGGGGCCTGCGGGCATAGTGTGCCCAGGACATGGCTCCACCCTGCCTTTTCATGACGCCATGCGCCATGCTCCGCGGGAAGAGCCTAGTGCGTGAGAGGCGGGGCGGAAGGCGGGGCACAGCCCCTGAGAGAAGGGCGGAGCCGACTAAGGCGTGGGCAGGAAGGAGGGAGGGCATCGCAGAGGACGGAGGGGCGGGGCAGAATTAGGTGCCTAAGAGCGTGAAAAAGCGCTAGGCTGGCTTCCTGAATGAAACCAGTTTGCCTTCCTGAAAGGCAGCACCGAGCCTAACTCGGTTTGGAGGGAGAGGAGGAGGTAGGAATGTCTGTGGCCACGACTGGAAGGAACAGGAAGAAATCCATCCCTTTTATGACCAGGAGAGTGAATGCCAAACAATCGGGGCGCTTAGGGAAAAGGACAGCCATGACACCACAGCAGAGAGGAAGGAGTAGACTACCCACTTTCCCAGCAAGGGCAGGGACACAGAGTGAGCGTCTGTCGCAGGAATATGCCAAAAGTCGCGACTCAGTTTAGCTGAAGTGAAGCCAAGGCAAAGTCCGGACTGCGGAACCAAGCCCAGGTATTCCTGCTGTCCCGGACACAATTTAATCTGCTTCCTTGCCTTGAAGCTTCTAGACAGAGCAGAGAGCCTGGCCCTGGGGTCAAGCAAGGGAAAAAGCTAACTGTGAACACAAGACATATCCACCCACCCCGACCCCCCCACGCCCCCCCACGCCGCAGGGTGCCCAGACCTTGAGAATAATTCACATTCTTTCATATTGCCAAAAAAGGACCCCAGATAGCCAAGAGGTCAGCCTCTGAGATCAAGTCCCTGTGCTTGCCAGACATCCTTGAGAATCGCTGAAATCTCCACTTAGTAAAGAAAAAAAGAAAAAAGAAAAAAAAGTATGTCACCGTGTGGACATTCAGTTGAGACTTGGCTCATTTTACCTCCTCGCATCATGTCAAACCCTGATTTATCAGAAACTGTACTGGGGCCCCAGCACCCAGCCCAAGGCGCTGCTGAAGGCTCCTGGAGAGAGCCCCATCGCCCCCTTTTCTTAGCCTGGGAACGGCATCTCCACCTGACACAGCCTTCTGCCCTAAGGGATGGACTCCTTTCTTGCCAGCTGGTCACCTACTATGGACATTACCATCCTTCAGAAAGTTGGGAGAAGGAAGAGAAAGGAATTAGTAATATGCTCTGGGTGTATATTCTCCATACCTGCCATTACACTGACAGCTTCCATCCATCCCCTGAGCTGGGACAGAGGTGGGGATGTCTTATCTCTCTAGCACCATACCCCAGATCCAGCCCAGGCTAGCCAGATGTCAGGCTGTTTTCTGCAACTGTCTAGAGCATCTAGAAGAACACCTTCATCAAAAAGATTTGATTCCAATATTAAATATAAGCCAAGAAAAAAACCAATTCACGTACTCTTGCACGGTGCAGATTTGGGAGTCGGACTTTCTCCTTTTGCATCTACCACATTTACGTGCCTTAGCCCGAGCACTGAAAAGTGAGCAAAACAGGTCCACTTGCTGGTCATCTTAGCAACCCGAAGGACGTGATGTGCAACTCCCGGGCAGTCGTCCCGTCTCCTCCTTCTAAACAAGCACATGATAGCAGGGCATGGTAGCAGGGCATGGTAGCACACACCTACAATCTTAGCCTTCAGGAAATGGAGGCCACAGGGCCAGCAACTCAAGATTATCCTCAATTACATAGTAAGTTTGAGGCCAGGCTGCTCCATTGCCTTGAGACCCTCTGGACACAGCAGAGCCTGTCCTTGGGGCTTCAGAGGATCGTCTCAGACAAATAAATGTCTGAGTTCAGGAGTCCACCTTAAACATCCATGCTAGGGCTCCATGTTACATGTAGAAAAAATGACGTCAGTAAGTGAAAAGTCAGGTGCAGTGTTCTCTGGAAACAGTGGGCTGAAAAACTATCTCAGCATCCTTAAGGACCCCAGGCAGCGCCCATCTCCATGAGCAAGCACCGATGAGATTGGCAGTGAGGCAGCTCTTAACCCTGGCCACACATCAGCGTCACCTGGGGCTTGTGGCCTGAGTCCCTCTCCCAGGGTTTCTGACCTAAGCAGCTCAGAGAGAAGTCTGGCACAGAGAGTCATTAACGCTTCCAAAGTTTTTCCAAAATGTAGCTTAGACCGGATCCACCTGGCTAGTGTTTAATCAAAGTGGTCCAAGAGGGCTAGGAAGGCATAAGTATCAGTCAGCGAGCAGGTCTGGTTCTTGGAAATAGGGACAACTCAAAGGCACTTGTGTGCGTTCACGGTGAGACATATGATGGCAAGGCCAGGAGAGGGTGGGGAACCACGCAGACAGAAATTCCCATCTAAGCCCCTGCACTTTGGCCCTCTGTGCGACTTGGGCCAAGCCACTTAATTACTGTGAGTCTTAGTTATGCCACGAGCACAGTGGGCATGGCAATAATAATACTTCCTTTGCAGGGTGGAAGGATTAGCTGTGGTAGTCGTTGCTTTGTTGGCGCATAAGCCAAGCACGGGATTCAGTACGTTTCGTACGTAAGGAGAAGATGCTGTAGGTAGCCATCCCCTCCAGACGGGTCCCCTTCATAGGGCCCTGCTTGCTTGGGAGCGGCTGTGGAAACTAAAACTAAAAGTGGTGTGGGAATCGGGCAGGGCAGGACCCAAGCATTCAGGACGCCTCTCACTTTTGTTCCCCACCTCAGGTCACTTGTAAATTCCGCCTGGAGAGAGGGTGTGTGTTTACAAGGACAGCCTGACTGTCTCTGACCTCACTTCCACTCCCACAGTAGGTGGCTGACACACTGTGCTATCGCACACAGTTCTGCAGAAGACAGGTCTGTCTGCCCAAGCCCTCACGCCTACCTTCTTCCCACCCTGTGAGACTCTGAAGGAAGCCAGGCCCCAGAGGCGCAGCTAGCCTGCAACCTGTCATGTGTTCTTTACAAACTGTGGAAAGCTGGGTGGAGGAGACAGACCCTGGGACTCTGACAGGTATGAGAGGCAGGGGGTGGGGGAGCCCATCCCTGCAGCAATGGTTCCTGAGTAACCCAGAATAAACAACCTACTGCTAACCCCATCACTACCCTCTCATCTCTCCATCTTGAGCAAAAGCCCAAGGAGGGCACAGACTCATCAGGGGCGGAACTAAGATTTAGACCCATGTCTGTGCAACCCATGTGCTCCACCATGCTACACGCCGTTCCCAACATAGCCTTCATCTCCCTGAACTCCTTTGTTTTACACAGAAGTCAGGAGAGGGCGTCAGACCCCCTGGCTGGAGCCATAAGTGGTTGTGAGTCACCAAGTGGGTGCTGGGCATTGAATGTGGGACCTCCTCAAGGGAAACAAATGCTCCTCACCACCGTGACTCATCTTTTGCCAAGCCCTTGCCAGCCAGCTTGCCTGGCATGAGGCTCCAGGAGAGAAATACCAGTCTATACACAGCAGTCAGCCAGCAGGCTCCACTGACTTGCCTACATTCCTGTTCAAAAAGCACTCTGCCTCCGCTCAGTGTTGGGGAAGGGGACCTGCGGCTGGGCTCCCAGGGAGGGGCACCTGCAGCTGCTCTGTGTCACAGACACGGCCTGGGATACGGAAACCCCCTCCTTGGGCAGAGCTCCTTCCACAGTGGAGGAACATGGGAACAAGCCCTTGGGAAAAGTGGCCACATCGCAGGAAAGGTCTCAGGTCTGACTCTTGGGAAATGAAATCCTGGCCAATGGTTTAAACTTGTTTTCCTGGAGATGTAGTCAGTCATCAGGACATACTTTATAGGTAGACATTCGAGCACTGATTCCCTAAGACTTCCTGGAGGCCCAGAGGTAGGAGCCAAGTCTAGATCTGCCGGCACCGTGTGCTGTCCGACCGATCCTGGCACATCCCACATCCCAAGCTCCACTATTCGCACCCTCAGGCCAGCGCTTCCCCGGGTGCAGAGTAGAGAACTTACAGCCAGCTGGCTTTCGGGTCCTCCATGGGGAAGGGTAGAAGCTGGTCAGGTTTCTTCCTCCACTTCATTTTTTTAAATACTTCTGTAGAGACCAGATCTTACTATGGTGTGGAGCTTCTGAGTTACCAGGGCCACAAGGGTACCTTGTGAACACCTTCATTTCCCCTTTAAAGCCTATGCCGATCGCAGCAGGGCGCATACCTTTAATCCCAGCCCTTGGGAGGCAAAGGCAGGTGGGTCTCTGAGTTCGAGTCCAACTGAAGCTACAGAGTGAGACCATGTCTCAAACAAACAAACAAACAAACAAAGCCTGTGTAGAAGTTGAAAACGAGGAGACAAAGAGGCACAATGGGTCCTTGTCATGAGGGTTATGTCTTTATACCTAGACCTGTTAATGCTCCCTTCAAAATCTGACATGTGCTCTTGTCATCCACAGGCTATTTTAATAGCCTTGGAATGTCTCACCACAAAATTTGGCCTGTGCTGGCCTGAATGTTCAACGCATGCTCTAAAGCACACTGCCAGCTGGCTAGGCCCCACCCCTGCCCCCAGGTGCTGCCAACGCAGGCCCACTCACCATTTCCCAGTCATGCCGAGTCCTCTCAGGTCTCTTGGCCATTGCTAACACAAATTTCAATTTTTGTTCCTTCGGCGGCCAGTTACTGAAGCTCAACTCAACGTTGAAGATCCCGCCCAAAGCTCCCCTCTTCACAGACAAGCCTTGGCCAGGAAGTCCTGGAGCAGGCATACCCCTCCCTGTCTACCCACGACACCATGGCCCTGCCCTTCAGGGCCTCCTGCAGCCTGCTCTGTGATCTGACCAACGACACCTCCACTCCACCTCCAACAGGCATGGATCTCGCCCAGCAGGAATGTTTAGCATGTAACAGGTGTTTAGCTCAATGTTTATAAAATGAACACACAGGTTAACTGATTAAAAGCCTGAAGACACCACACAAGACTGATTATCCCTTATGTAAAATGTGTGGGCCCAGAAGTATGTTGCATTTCTTTCTCTTTGTTTTCTGATTTTTGAATATTTGCGTATACATAATGGTGTATCCCAGAAACAGAACTTAAGTCTTAACACAAAATTAATTTTTGTTTTATGCATGCCTTATGCACACAGCCTGCAGGTAATTTTACACAGCATTTTTCAGTGAGACCATGTTTGGACTACCATCCATCATATGAGGTCAGGTGTGGAATTTTCCACTTGTGGCATTGGTATCGTCAGTGCCCAAGTTACGGATTTTGAGTGTTTGGAGACTTGGGACCCTGCACCCATGCAAGAGAGAGCATTCCACTTTCTTGGTCATGAAACTCTAGAGCTGGAAGTGGAAAGTGGAAGGCTAAGGGCTGTGGCTTCAGCAGCGTGGAAGGTCGTGCTTCAGCTGCATAGGGAAGAGCAACACAAGGAGGGAGGGAGGGAGGAGAGAGAAGAGCAGGGCGAGCACAGAGATAGTGACAGGAGACGGCAGAAACCAAGCCCAGACCCATAAGGCAAGTTCCTGCTGCAAGAAAGAGTCTGACCCACTCAGCATGGCAGATAAATTCACAGACCCCACCCGACACACACACACACACACACACACACACACACACACACACACACACACACAATGGCTCCGGCACCATAACTACGTATCAGAACTACTGCCATTTCTAGACATACCTGGTATTGATTAGAAAAGGGGTCCCGGTGAGTATCAAGTGTGGGGAAACATCATGGAGTTCAGGGAGATACTCTTAGAGGACTCAGGTCCTCTTGCAAGTTTTGTGGTGGTAAAAGAGCTAGGTTCCACCTTGGTTTTCAAGGAAATGAGGGAAATTCAAGAGGACCAGACCACGTAAGTGTTTTTAAGCTCAGTGGGAAACCCCAAAGGTCCTGCATTGATCCTCCCATCCTCTGGGGCCCAGCCCTCCTCCAACCACAAGTAATACATCCTCCATGCAGTCCAAACATAGTGCAACCTGGGCCCCAGTACAGACAGTAAAACTGTAGGCCCCACACTATTCAGAGCCCTAAGCACACCTACACATGAGCCTCCTGCCCAACTAGGAGGCTTTTGTAAAATACAATGGGTAGCTTTGCATAACATCTGCAAAAAGATATCCCACAACCTGAGTATGTGTCTGTTTCTCCTGAGAGTCGTCTTGTGTTGGTGTTGAGAGTCAGATGTAAAAACCCGACAGGTTTGTGTGTTGGAATATTTGGTCTTCAGTTGGTGGTGCCATTTCTGGAAGGCTGCAGAACCATTTGGACACAGGGCCCAGCTGGCAGACACAAGGGCTATAAGCCTGTCGGACTGGGTTTATGGGTTGCATAGCCTGGCCTGGTTCCTACCTGAGTCCCTCTCTGCTTCCATGTCCTAATACTGAGATACGAGGAGTCGCAGTCATATAGTCCTAATGCTGAGAGCTCCTATATGACTTCCCTGTCATGGGCCATGTCCTCCCCAACCCTGAGTGAGGTAAGTCCTTCCTCTTTAAGGCATTGCGCCCTTCACGTATTTTGTCACATCACAGCAGTGAGCAAAAGCAACAAACACAGGAGGACTCCTCATAGCTGGCTTAGATGGAAATGGCGGAGGGCAATCAATGTACAAGGTGCCCAGAGTCACGTGGTGAGGGGCAATTCTCAAAGATTCCAATCAAAGCCTGCTGGGGTAGGGAACCCACGGGAACCCACAGTGTGAAAACTCGAGGCACTGAAGTAAGCTTGGACCAGTTCCCCGACTCACGGAGGAGGCAAGTCATTTGTTTTCTTGGGTTTCTAGTGTATTGTAGACAGTGGGCAATAAAGAATACCGAAGAAAGAAAACTTTCTATAGTGCCATCAACACTTTGGCCCAAATAAGTTCAGCGTGAACCAAAATAAGCTCTGGCCCAGAAGAGAAGTCAGCAATAGAAGTGCTGAGTGTGGCCACACGGGGGATAGGAACCGTAAAAGCAAGCAAAGGCGTTCATGGTCAGGCCCCATGGCTCCCATGTGATGCGAAGACTCTCCGCCAGGCACACTCATGCCCTAGAGGGTGGCACACAGGCCTGGGAGTGGACTTGCCCTCTACCGCGGACCACAGCACACTCAAATCCCTTGTGCTGGACCCCCAACTTTGATGCCAGAGAAGAGTTAGACTCTGCCCTCTATCCACGGAGACCACGACGCCATCCATCAGAAAAGAGCCCAAGCAAGTCTTGTAACGAAATCTGGCACTGCCTTTGCCAGCCTGAAGCAGGAAAGCTGAGGAGGTCGGAGAGAGCTCAGGGCCAGCTGCTCCAGTGTGCCAGGGCTCACGAGAGGAGACCCATGCCCTCCCGCCCTCCCCGGGGACTCACCTGCTACAGAGGGACCATACAGATGCCAAACGCGGGCAGCGTCCTTGCCTGAGCCACACTACAACCGCTCTTTACTTGCAAGAACCCATTTCTGTGTGGCTTGCTGCCCAAGGCAAGGGGGACATAGGTTTAAAAGATGTCCCCGAGCTCTAGGGTGTTCATGACCTCCACAGACATCCCAGAACAAGAAACCCAATCTTACGTTCTCAATCAAGCAAGCTTTTCAACAGCTTTTCCCCAAACTCATTTTTGGTATGTATTATCCATTCACATTTTATGAGACATATGTAACACACAGGAGACATTCACAGAGAATAGGTCTCTATGAGCTCTTAATGGATAATTTCTTAGTGTTTATTTTGTATTGTATATACGTATATGGGTGTTAGCATGTGGGGAAGCCAGAGGGCAACATGTCGGAGCTGTTTCTCTCCTTCTGCCACATGGATTTAGGGGATCAAACTCGGGCCGGGGTCAATGTCTGGTGTCTTCCTCTGGCATCACAAGACTGCTCGGGGGGCAGTGATGGCCACAGGGCTGCTGAGACCCTCAGATGTGCTTCAGTTGCTTGCTAGTCTGAGGCAGCTGGAATGCTCTTCACCCGCCACCTGCCCGTTGGCGTCCGTTAACAACCTCTGTCCACAGAGCCGCAAGCTACCTACAGGGGCCTGTATGACTTTCCTTGCTCAACCCAAATACGGGAGGACGACGGTGAGGGCCCCAAAAGAATGGCTCCAACATCTCCTTACTCCATCCGCAACCATTCAGCTCTCACCGCGGCCAGACACTTTACTTAAATCTAGTAGATTCCACGTCCCTTGCTTGGAACTGAGTTTGTTCTATGGCCTCCTCAGAATTTTTAGCAGCTGGTGATAAAAACAATTTCTCCAAGGAGAGGTGTTTAACTTCACAAAAAATCCTAACGCCACCGAGATACATTCTCTTGCCAAGACATCTGACAACTGGCCTATTTTCAAAGTCCCATCCAATAACCTCTTAGAAGTACTCTACACGCAGACAGAGGCAATGAATGGCCAAAAAGGCAATGAGGCCAACATTAGGGTTTTGCTTTTCAAAAGAAGCCAGAATTTACCCATCCAAACAAGACTGTCTTCTAAGTACCCCCCCCCCGCCCCCAGCTCTGCACTTATTCCAGGGGTGTTGTGTTTGCTTGAAGGCTCTTTGGAAAGTGCTGCCACAGAACAGTCTTTGCCCCGTTCGGTGCTCTGAAGGATAAAGTTAACAAGCATCTGGCTGGCAGCTGTCTCTGCGTGCCAGGCGCTGTGGTAGGCTGGGCGGAGGGCTCTGGGGTAATTGAACAAGGTCTTTCTGGCAAGGTGAGGGAGGGAAAAGAGGAGACACACCACAAGCCAGGTACTACTCGATATGTTTTGGTGTGTTACATTTAATACACACCCCTCAGACCTTCTTAAAAAGCAAAGCCTGAGGACTGAAAGAAGTTAAAGTGTCTTGGCCAAAATCACACAAGCAGGAGATTGTGGTGATCTTCCTGGGCTGGGGATAAGAAGTGCCCACACTGGTGTCCACCACACCAGGGCAGCATCCTGAGGCAAGCTGACAACGGTCCACTGACTCAGAAGAGGTCCCGGTGGGAAACCTGACCCGGAGCTGGCCGCGTCCCATCCTACGTCAAGCATGCGCCTCCTGTTTACCTTTGCATCAAGTCTCTGACAGCACAGTGGGTAAGGAGCATTTCTTCAGATATAAAACAGGGCTTTCACACTCCAACTATTTACGTCAACAGAGGAAGACAGATGCTCAGGCACGCTCACACACCAAGGCTCTCACTCACACAGAGGGCCATCTGTCTGTTCAAGGTGTCCACCTCATAGGAGGCAGGGATGTCGGGTCTTCACCTCAACACGACCAGGCTTGCTTCTGACAATAGTTCAAACATGAACCAGACCTAGAGTGTGCTGACGTGACTGGGTAAATGAAAAGGTGCATACAGAAAAGGAAATACGATTTAGCCCTCCTAAAAAGGAAGGATTTGGAGCCAGACCTGGTGGCTCAAGCCTGTAATCCCAACTACTTCAGAGGTTTAGGAAGAAAGATTACAAAGATTACAACTCACTATGGAGTGAGTTCAAGGCCAGCCTGGAAAAATTATCATGACTGTCTCAAATAGGAAGGAAAAGAGACCCAAGGGAGTGGCTAGCTCAGGGGTAGGGGGCTTTCTTACTGTCCACAAGGCTCTAGGTCCAATGGCTAGGACTGAAAATAAATTAAAGGAGGGAGGGGAGCGGAGGGAAGGAGAGAGGATGAACCTTGAGGATATAACGCTAAGTGAAAAAAGCCGGAGGCAAAGGGGAAAATAATGTGGTGTACTACTCCTGTCTTGAGCATAAAATTTATAGACAGAAAGTAGGGTGTAGCTGGCTGGGGCTCAAGAAAAAGAATTGGGAAGTTATTATCTAAGGACATAATTTCATTATTAATTTGATGCAGTGCTAGTGGTAGAACCAGGGCCTTGCACATGTTAGATGAGTACTCTTGCCACCGAGCTACACCTCCAGCCCCTAGAGTTCGTCCTGCAAGGTTTAGTTTGGAAATTGATGGTGGTCATGGCTGCACAACAATGTAGGTGTATTTGA